TTTACGAAGCTATCAATTGCTTTTGAAGAAAAACAGAAGAGTCCTCATACTTTACAATTTATTGCCGGCTAATCAGGTTGAGCAAGTTACCACGATAGAGCCTATTTTCTATTGAATTCTGATTTCGCATGATCAAAACTAATTCTTTACTTTCCTCATAACCACTGGATTATCATTCCGGCACAGAAAGTTTTTAAAACTAATTTATGATTTTTCATATTAAGAACTGGTAGGCAATTGCTTATGCGAATTATTTTGATCGTTTCTGCGCTTCACTCATTTCACCCTCTTCATAGCAGCTTTTCATATCTATCCGCCATCTTGCTTCGTTAAAATGTTAATTTGTATGCCGCAGTCCTGAGTTTGCCAAAAGCATATTGTCATTTTTATGTGGCAGAATATTTCAGCTTTCGCTTTCAACCGTTCCCGGAAACTGCTTCTTGTGTTGTTTTCATAATCATGGAATATCGAAGCGTAGCCAGTGTTTCAACACCATACATAAAGCCGACGTAGAGTCTTTGTACCGCAGCACCTGACTTGTAGTCTTCAATCTTCTTCACGTTTACCTTCTCAACATAGAATCGAAAAACTCACTTAACATCTTACTTGTCGCTTGAAATTTTTATTCAATGGCAAAAAATAATGCAATCAGGACAGGTTACGTTTGCCTACTAAAAAGTTTTTCTTTCTCGAAGTTTATAGTGCATTTAATTGAGACGCGTTAATGGTGAGGAAACGAAAAAACGTAAAAACGTCGAACGCAGCCCTAATTTCAGGATCTATTCGTAGTGCGTTGACGGTCGCATTATGTTCAGGACATGCTTAACGAACAAAGCTGTTCATTCGTTCGAAAGAAAAACGGCCCAATTGGACAGATCTGAGAATACACGGAAGCGATAACAGGTCAAGAAGGAACATAATTCAGTTATATGAACATTTTCCAAAATTCTATTATTGCAACAAATTCTGACTGCGACATATCAAACGGGAGGAAAGAATTACTCACCCCGAGATGAATGACGGTAGGCACATCGCGAATTTACTTCGACTTTAAAACTTTGGCCTGC